CGCTTACTGTATACTAAGCATCTTACATGTGTCCACTCTCCTAGCAGGGCACTGCTAGGAGATGAGGTCTACAGGTGGGGAAATGGGCCCTCAGGAGATCAAGCCCCTGGACCGAGGCCCCCCAGAAATGGCAGAGTAGAGCAGGGCCCATGCTTTCAATTACTGCCAGGTGTCATGAGGCATCACCCAAGTGTTTAGCAGCCCTCACCCCACCCCTCCCTCATCCAGTGTGTAATAGTCCCCAGGTAAGCCATGAGTCTCCTACCCTACCCCCCACAGATGTGCAACATGCTGGGCCTGGGGGACATGAATGCAGACCAGCTGGCCTCCAAGCTGGAGGAGACACTGCCTGTCATCCGCTCTGTCAGCGAGCAGTTCAAGGACCCTGTAAGCTGCACCCCAGGTGGGCAGTAAGGGGCAGGTCGGGAAGTAGAGCCAGACCCTGACCCTCACTGTCCTCTCTCCTGCTTTGCAGGAACAGACCACCTTTATCTGTGTGTGCATCGCCGAGTTCCTGTCCCTGTACGAGACAGAGAGACTGATTCAAGAGTTGGCCAAGTGCAAGATTGACACACACAACATCATTGTCAACCAGCTGGTCTTTCCTGACCCCGAGAAGCCCTGCAAGATGTGTGAGGCCCGCCACAAGATCCAGGCCAAGTACCTGGACCAGGTGCGCCCTTGCCCCCAGCACAGACCTCAGCCCTCTCACCTCTGACCCAGGGGGGAGGGGGAAGGACTGGCCCTGCATAGCCAAGGCTCTTCTGACCCATCACTGTGTTCTCTGACCTTTTACTTCATCCTCTGACCCTTTGTCTCAATCCTGAGACCATCACCCTTCACCCCAACTTGGACCTTTTGCCCTAATTCTGGCCCTGGAGGACTTGCTAGGCCTGGTCTGTGTACCTCTGACCCTAAGAGGCAGGATGTCCAGCCCAATGGGCCCTGCCCCGAATTTTCTCCCTTACCCTGGGGAGCCCTCAGACATCCGGCCCCTGACTGCTGCTTTCTGCCCAGCACAGATGGAGGACCTGTATGAAGACTTCCACATTGTGAAGCTGCCACTGTTGCCCCACGAGGTGCGAGGGGCGGACAAGGTCAACACTTTCTCAGCCCTCCTCCTTGAACCCTATAAACCCCCCAGCACCCAGTAGCATTGCTGCCTGTCCCAGCTGCTGACATTTCACGCCCACCCTCCAACTTCACCCTAGGGCAGAGTTTGCACAAAATACCCCCCTATGGTGCAGGGGGGAGCCACTGAGGGGAGGAACAGAGGTGGGGAAGGGCCCTGTTCCCCCTGGTGGGGCTGAGGGGCTGCAACTGACCCCCACCTTTCCCCACCTCTTGCTCCTCAATAAAAAGATCTTTAACTGCTTTGGGTGTTTATGTGGGAATCTGGGAATGGTGGGTAAGGCACCTTCATAAGTGAGGGGGCTTTCAAAAGTTCATGGAAAAATAGGATGAAAAGAAAAGAATTTTTCCACAAACGTTGACACCCCCTCATACAGTTGCACACACTGCACTGCACCAGTGGATTCACAGCAGAGACTTAGACATGTATGTATAGCCATGTGGACAGGAGGGTATTGGGTAAGAGATGTGGGGGTGTTTCTGCCAAGGCTGTGAGGCCTGGGGTGGGAAGGGAAATCCGCCTATTTCCATGAAGACTCAGAGCGTGGGAACCAGGTGCCCCATGAGTAGGCCCCTGGCTAGTAGGGAGCGGATTAGGCCTGCAGTGGGCCCAAGGCTGCCTGTTGTTTGGATTGGGAATTAATGGGCGCCCTGGGCAGAGATTGGGCCTGCCAAACTGGGGATTAACAGTCTCCACCCACCCCAATTCCTACCACTCTGGGTAGCATTGCCTCTCCCACACAGACTGCAGCTGGGGTACTGACTGGGGGCAGGTTAACATAGGCCTCAAGCTATGGCCCCTGCTGTTCCATTCAGCATCCAGAACTTTCTTATTTGAGTGGCTAAAGCATGCTTCCTGCCATCTGAGCTTTGGGACCTTCACTAAAAGATTAAGAGCCATATGACAGAGCCATGGCACATGTCCCCAAGACAATCCATGCACTGGAAGGCTTTTGTCCTGCACTCCAGCCGTCTTCCACTTGCGTTGTTAAGTGCAGGTGATTTAGTTCCGACTCAGCATTCCCATATAGGGTTCTGAGGAACTGCTGATGAATTTGAACAGCCAACCTTATGATCCTGTGTGCATCCTACAGTGCCACACCAGGACTCCCTGCCACTGCCTGGGGAACCCCATTTTCCCTACTTGAGAAACCCAGGACTGGGAATGACCTTGGACAGTTCTAATTCCAAGCTGAAGCTAGTTGGGGGGGAGGAGGGACCAAAGCGGGTGTTTAAGGACATATGAGTCAGGAGGTAATGTTGAGACGTGCCAGGGTGTGTGTGCAAGGGGAACCCAGCCACGAGCCTAGACGTGTTCCCTCTACACTGCTTGCGTGCTGGGTGTGCGCAAGCAGGTGTGGCATTTTGGGTGGCTTGCATAAACAGTGATGCAGCATAGTGGCAAAGACCCCCCAAGGACAAAGTGTCTGGATTCAAATTCTAGCTGTGTGTGTCCTCAGCCTCGGTTTCCCTACTTGGCCACACCATGTTCATAGGCCTGCTTGTGAGAATTCAGTGAGATGGTGGCACGTATTCACCAACAAGTATTTGTTATTCTTCATTGTTAAAACGGTTAAGTATGTATGCTAGCTTGGGTCCAACAGTCAGTGGGGACACGTTTGCGCTGGGGGAGGGATAATGAGACGAGGGCTAGCTCAGTAAATGTGAAGACACAGTAGGAAGCAGGGGCTGTTGGTTGGGAAAGAGCCTGTCAGCACAAAGCTGACCCCCTTCCCCAGGTCTGGCAGCTGGCTGCCCAGTCCAGCACTACCTGCTTGCTCCCTTTTATGGTCCATCCAGCAGCTGGACAGCGGAGGCATGAGGCTCAAAGTGGAGGTGGCCAGCCTGGGCCAGTTTCTAATTACCCCGGGTGGGGCCGACATCTGCCAGGATAGGAACGCAGCGTCCTGGACTGCTGGGTCCCGGGTGGAGGTGCTCAGACTTCTGCAATGGGTGGACACCAGGGGAACAGGAACACTCATTCCAGGGTATCCCTCCCTGGAGCAGAGTTGGACCCCTGAACTCCTGCTCCCCCTCACACAGGTTTGTACACTGGGGTAGATAAAGGTGGGGTACTGTGTGTGCCAGGCTGGAAATGCCTCCTTTATGTGCATAGGAGGAACAAGTGTTCCATATCCATGTAGAATGAGGGGATCAGATTTTGGATTCCCCAGCTTGTGTGTTCATGACAATAGAATATTTCAGAACTACGAATGCAGACAGGGTCATTGGAAGTCTCACGTATTGATACGCACACAGGTGAGTTTTGTGATAGGGGGCTTACTGGGTATGATTCTATCTAGACATGACCTCTCTGTGAATATGGTCCAGGGAATCAGTATGACTCTGGGACTGAATGCCACTGTGTTGAGAGAAAGTGTCACTACACCTGGTGTCAGGGTTCTGTGGCAATCAGGAAGCAGTGCACGTGACCTCTCAGTGTGATGATGGATGGCTATGTTGAGGGGAGGTGTTCTGGTGTCTGAGTGTGTAATGTACTTGGCTGGTTGTGTGACCTTGTGTGTGTCTTTGTGACAGAGTGATCTGGAGGAAACGCAAGGCCCCTCCCTTTGTCCCCACCTGTGTTCTCCTGCATATTGTTTGGAGACTGTCAGTATGCCTGAGAACTGGAGATGTTAGGATACTTCTGTATGTTGGGGAGAGGGGGAGAGCCGCGTGTCTGGTGTGTCATGTGTGCCCCTAGAAGTCTGTGACGGTGTGTACTACCTGTTGGATCACTGTGGTTGTGTAAGGCTGGGGTGAGAGAAGCTGAGTGTGGTTGGGTTAATTGTGCATCTTTGTGACAGTGTAGGATATGACAGGTGACTGGAGTGACCCACAGACAGGAGTGACTCTGGGACTGGGAAGTAGAGGATCCCTGCCCCTCCACCAGTTCCAAGTTCCCCAGCCATGACAGTCAGCAGAGTGACTCAGAAGGCAACGGAGGCAAGGGTGACCTCTCCCCCTGCCCCAGGTCACAAACTGACCTGCTTCTGACTTCTCCAGTTTCCAGGCTGCAGTTGAAAGGGGCGGGCCAGGGAGGGGCCGTCCCCGCCCACTCTCCAGCCCCCTCCAGCTTAGGGTCTGACTTCAGACCCACCCAGCACGGAAGCTACCCGCCCATCCAGTCACTACCACCACCACCCCCCACCACCCACCCCCGCGTGTCCCTGCACTCTCCACCTTCAACACTGGTAAGAAGGGGCGAGGGAAATGTGGGCACCCTGGGAACAGATGGAGTTCCCCAAATGGAGAGTGGAGGGCTTGGAAGGCTAGTGGGAAGCAGAGAGGAAAGATCTAGGTAGATCGGAGAGGAGAGGAGGGGCAGCGTCAGGCGTGTGCAGTGGTGGTGTAACTGGCCGTGGAACGGCTAATGCAGGAGTGGGGTCCAGCTGCATCAGGGGGACTGGGGACCAAGGGTTAGGACTGGGAGATGGAAGAGTGGAGCCAACCACAGGGCCAGAGGTCGGGGCTAAGGAAAGAGACTTGTGAGGAAGGGTCGGAACCCTGATTCTAAAATCTGAGACGCTGAGGGCGCAGAATGAGCAAGGTTGTAGAAGGCGTCCTGGAGGGTCAGGGAGGACTCCTCTGCTGCTGACCGCGTGGATTCTAGGGGATAGGGGAGGGAACGGTCTTAGGTTGGGCGATTCAGGGAGGCGGCAGGGAGAAGTAGGCGCCAGGCTCTGCGACTCGGAGTCCAGGAGAAGGGGCGACCTGCGAAGAGAGGACAGGGTTTGAGGCGGGCCTGAGCCGGACTGGGAGGAAAAGGGAATCTGTACCGCAAGGAGAGGACGCCGCGCTCAATCGCCTCACACCTCCGCAGCCCCCCATTCGTCCGTCCACAGTCCCGAGGTCGGCCCGACACGACGATGACCGTCACATACACAGCGCGTGTTGCCAACACGCGCTTCGGCGGCTTCTCGCAGCTCCTGCTGCTATGGCGGGGGAGCATCTACAAGTTGCTGTGGCGGGAGTTGCTCTTCTTCCTCGGACTCTACATGACGCTGAGCATCGCCTACCGGTGAGATCGGGTCCCTGGAGTGGCCAAGGGGGTGCTGCCAAAAGAAAGACCTCCCTCTGAGGAAGGTACCCTCCTCTGATCTCACGCCCCCCATCTCCTAGCTTCGTGTTGAGTGAAGACCAGAAGCGTTACTTTGAGAAACTCGTCATTTACTGTGACCAGTACGCCAGCCTCATCCCTGTCTCCTTCGTTCTCGGTGAGGTCCTGCCTTTTCCCCGCCCCATAACCCTGAGAGTCATTTCCATTTAAACCTTTGTAGATCCTATTCCTGCCTCTCTGAGACACCCCTCAAATCTAACCCCCACAACTCTTCCCACTTCTGGATCCTGAGACCTTGGATGTCACCTGGTCACATGTACCCATGAGAGCTCCCCACTCTAGTTCACTCAGGGACTCTCATGTATAGACAGGAGACTAGTAGTGTCCCCCACATGTCCTGGGCCCCTCTCAAATGATCCATATGACTCCATCCTCTCAATCCCAGTCAGGCAGACATTCCTCTGACATGTCTTGGTCCCTAATGACTTCTGCAATCTCAGACTTCAACCCAAACTGTCCTGGAACTCCCTGACGTTTCTTGCTGATGTTAGGGGCTGTCAGGTTGATTGGGACTCAGTAATTCTATAGGGCAGGATAGAACTGCTCCACAGAGTCTCCTAGGCTGTAATCTTCACAGGAGCACATCCTGTATCTAAACCCCTTGTGTATCCGGCTCAGAGACAAGCCTGATGTACATCCCTACAAACTGGGCCCCTCTCCCCATGTTCTGATCTCTATGCCCCCAGCTGAGTCAGGTACTCCCTGTGGATGGGGTGACAACTTTTCCATCTGTCCATTTGTCTCCACTCCCACATTGGGACTTCAATCCCCTAACCCAAATGATTCCAAAGTAGCCAGGGTGACACAGTCTGCTTGGCCTCTCTGGTATCCTTTCAAGACTGGGGCCCCCAAGTTCCCAGACCAAGTGGCCTCATGAAGTCAGAGTGGCTGACCCTTTGAAGTCTCTCCTCCTACAAGCTGGGTCCCTAATCTTCCCAGCCCTGTGTCCTTGCTGAGTCTCCCACCCCACCCGCCGCTTGCTCGCAGGCTTCTACGTGACGCTGGTGGTGCACCGCTGGTGGGACCAGTACCTATGCATGCCGCTGCCCGATGCGCTTATGTGTGCCGTGGTGGGCACGGTGCACGGGCGCGACGAGCGCGGTCGCCTCTATCGGCGCACGCTCATGCGCTACGCTGGACTCTCCGCTGTGCTTATTCTGCGTTCGGTCAGCACTGCGGTCTTCAAACGTTTCCCCACCGTGGACCACGTGGTGGAGGCTGGTAAGGCCTCAGGAAAAGAGGTGGGCTGGGGACCGGGTAGGGACGTGGGAAGGAGCGAGCAACCTTTGACAACGCCTCTCCAGGGTTTATGACCCGCGAAGAGCGCAAGAAGTTCGAGAACCTCAACTCGCCCTATAACAAATTCTGGGTGCCCTGCGTCTGGTTCTGCAACCTAGCCGCGCAAGCCAGGCGTGAGGGCCGCATCCGCGACAACAGCGCCCTCAAGCTGCTACTCGAGGTGGGCCCGCCAGAAGGGTTTGTGCTGGGGTGAGGTCATTTATCTAGACTACTAGAAAAAAAATGTGCAGTGTGCAGTTGGGTCAGACAGCAGCCTGAGGAGCAGAAATGCATAGTGCCTCCCCCCTCCCATGTTATTCACTGACAGTCCAATACTTTCCTGGAAACCCCAAGCACACTCTACCTCTCACCAGGTTTAGACCCAACCATCATCATCTCACCTACTCACAATGAACTTTTACAACTCAGTCCCCCTCAAGACCTGTATCCATCCCCAGGAGTTGAATGTGTTCCGGGGCAAGTGTGGGATGCTCTTTCACTACGACTGGATTAGTGTACCCCTTGTCTACACCCAGGTAATCCCTCCCCCGTGCCTCTGTTGATATCGGGTGGCAAGGGGAAACAGAACCAGCTCAGACCCCCATCACAGTGACACCGGTCTTAGCCCTCGATGACCCTGACCAGGTGGCCTCTCTTGCCTCCAGGTGGTCACCATCGCAGTGTACAGCTACTTCCTGGCCTGCCTCATCGGTCGCCAATTCCTGGACCCAGCGCAGGGTTATAAAGGCCACGACCTGGATCTATTCGTGCCCATCTTCACACTGCTACAGTTCTTCTTCTATGCCGGCTGGCTCAAGGTGGGAGGAACCTCTGGCCGGGAAGATGGAAGGATCTCAAACCCCTCCCTAACCCACTTCCAAACCCACTCAGGTCGCAGAGCAGCTCGTCAACCCCTTCGGAGAAGATGACGACGACTTTGAGACCAACTTTCTAATCGACCGCAACTTCCAGGTGAGACTCGCTGTGTTGATCATCCCTGGCTCCGAAAACTATGAACTTCTGGTCCCATTCCTGCCAAGACGTGCTTAAGCCAGGAAATCCTCTCTTTAGTGGCTCACTAACCCTTCATGAAATGTCCACCCTGTTGTCAGGGTATTTTGCCTCGCCCCACCTCCATCTGGGTGTCGCGCCTGCAGGTGTCGATGCTGGCCGTGGACGAGATGTACGACGACCTGGCCATGCTGGAGAAGGACCTTTATTGGGACGCAACCGAGGCTCGCGCCCCCTACACAGCGGCCACTGCCTTCCTGCTGCAGCAGCCGTCTTTCCTGGGTTCCACCTTCGATATCACGTTAGTCAACCGGAAGGGGCGGGACTCCTGTCTGATTTAAAGGACTGTAGGGAACGGGGACAGGGTTAAAGGTTAAATCTTATAGGGATTGAGGTTTTGAGGATTGGAAGGGAAAAGACTGAGCATGAGTGAAGGGGCGGGGTCAAGGCCAGGAGTGGGGGGGGCCACATACTGGGGCCCACCTACAGCGGCAGAGCTAAAGTCTAGGGATCGGATTAATCAGAGGCGGTATAAAAGAAGACGAGGCCGAGCCAAGACTAAAGTTTTGGGGCTTAAATTTGAACTGATCAGAGGAGGGAGGAAGAGGCCAGGCTCTGACTTGAGGAGCAAAGTATTTGGGGATGTGGGACGAAAGGCTGTGTGGAGCCAGGAGAAAACAGCATGCCTTGGATCCAGTTCTTTCAAAAGGAGAGATTACCTGACTTGGCTGTCGCTTCTGTAGCCTGGCCAAGGAGGACATGCAATTCCAACGGCTAGACGGCGTGGACGGACCGCCGGGCGAGACGCACAGTGACTTCCTGCAGCGCCTCCTGCCGGTTACTGCGGGCCCTGCCGGAGCCCTACTGGGCCGGCGCTTGTCGCTCTTGCGCCGCAAAAACAGCTGCGTGTCAGAGGCGTCCACTGCAGCCAGCAGCGCGTGCGCTGCGGCCCCGGAGTGCGGCTGCGAGGACCAGCTACTAGACCCTGGCCTGCGGGAACCTGAGGCCGAGTCCCTCGCTGCTCCCGAGCCGCCCGCGCCCGCAGTCGGACCCGCAGCCGAACCTTTCACCATGGTTCCCATGCCCGGACCACGAGGTCCCGCGCCGCCCTGGCTTCCTAGCCCCATTGGCGAAGAAGAGGAAAATCTGGCCTGAGACCCTTAGGTCCCGGACCCCCCAAGGGGTTCAGAGAACCAAGCAGATACAGAACGCAGGCCGCGATCTGGGTCAGCCTACGACTTGTGTGAACTCCCCCGTTCCCTGCATCCCAGCCTTCACTTCCCAGCCCGCCTTTCCCCGGTAACCCACGCCTGAGCGCCCTGCCTTTGGTACAGGGGCTGAGGGTTAGCTTCTTTGAACCCCCAGTCCTTACCACCGGCTCTATCTTTCACCCTTGCTTGAAAGTCTTCACCAGTACGTCCGCCCTTTCATTCAAACGGAGATGAGTGCCTACCGCCTGGATTTGTCCCGAGGCTGAAATAAAACTACAACTTTAAAAGCATTTGGTACATAGAAACAAAACCAAACCAAACTGGTTGCTGTGTTGATTCCTGACTCATGACGATCCTATGTGCTTCAGAATAGAGCTGCAATCCATAGGGTTTTCAAAGGCGGTAACTTTTAAGAAGTAGACTGCCAGACCATTCTTTTGAGGTGCCGCTGGGTGGATTCAGACCTCAACCTTTTCTTTTGTAGCTCAGCGCTTAACTTGTGCTACCCAGAGACTCCTCAATAAAATGTTTATGCTCAGTCATTGTTAGTGCGACTTCTCCTTGCCAGCAAGTAATATATATCACGATTTGAGAAGTCTTCCTGATTCCAGTGGAATCTTGCCCTGCTCTTTTCACCCCAAATTCTGCTACTTGAGATGCTCCCACAGAACCAGAACCGTGACTTTTCTCACTTACTAATGTGCCAGACACCGTCCCAGACCACACTCCCTCCTGCCAGCTTTGTTTTAAGATTCTGCAAGCGATGCCAAGCCACACCCCCTGCATTCCTAACTACCACTCAGTGCTCCAGATTTCAATTTAATCATAAACTGATAACTTCTAAACATAGAAGTTCATGCAGGATTCCAGCCTGCCTCAAGACGCAGGGAGCCAACTAACTGCCTCCCCAACCTCTCCATGTGTTGTTATTAAGTCAGTTCTGACTCACAGAGATCCTGTATAGGGTTTCCAAGGAGCAGCTGATGGGTTTGAACCACATACCTACAACACACCTACAACACCACACCAGAACATTCTTCATATGGGACACCTCAAATATATCATACCCCAAACCAGCTCCCTTTTGTCTTCCCAACTTGCCCTAACCTCTTTATCTTTCAGGGTTTATGAGGTCAAAACCTTGGCAACGTCTTCCTCTTTCTTTTTTCCCCTTCCACATCAAATCAGCACCAAAGTCTATTAGTTCTGACATCTGCCTTCAAACTGTATCTAGAATCCAGCCACATTTCACTCCTCCAGGAATCCACCCTGGCCAGAGCTATTACCCACCTGGATTAGGGACTTCTGCCCTGAACATCTGGCTCCTGCTCTTAACTCCCACAATCTGCTGCCCCAACAGTGGCCAAACGGTACCTGTGAACACCTGAGTCAGGGCATGTGCCTGCTCTACTCAGAACCCTCTATGGCTCCCGCTTCACTTAGAATAAAAGCCTAAGTCCTCCCCTAGGCCAACAGTCCCTGCACAATTTCACTCATCACCGCCTTTCCAACATCTCCTCCCATTCCTCACCTCACTCACTCCTCTCTAGCCACACTGGCCTCCTCAATGCACTTCTAGCATACCAAGGTCCTCCCTCAGGGCCTTTGCACTTGCTATTGCATTGCTCCCTCCCAACCTCTTCTCCACCCAACCCCATATCCACAGTTCTTCCCACACCTCCTTAAAGATTCTGCATATGTCACCTTGGTGAGGCTCCCTTTCTTGACCTTTTATCTAAAATTTCCCCATCTCAAATCCATCTCCTACATCCCCATCACTTTTTCCTGCTTTATTTTTCTCTGTGGCACTTCTCACATCAAAATTATACTTACTTTGTTTGTTACCTGACTCCCTTCATAGGAAATGCCAACTTCATGAAGGCAGGGAATACACAGACCAAGAGGCAGTCATTAGAAGAGAACAAGGGGACACTGAATGGTTTCAAATCAGGAAAGGTATGCATCAGGGTTGTATCTTTTCACATTTATTCGATGTTTTCAATGCCGTCGAGATTCCAACCCATAGCGACCCTGTACAGAATTTCTGAGGAGGAGCTAGTGGGTTTGAACCACCAACCTTGTTCGTAGTCCAGTGCTTATCCTACAGAGCCACACCAATCTGTATGCTGAGCAAATAATCTAAGAAGCTGGATTATATAAAGAAGAATTTGGCATGGCTTGGAGGAAGACTCATTAACAACCTGCAATATGCAGATGATACAGCCTTGCTTGCTGAAAGCAAAGAGGACTTAAAATATTTACTATGAGGATCAAACACTTCATTCAGCCTTCATGGATTGCACCTCAATGTAAAGAAAACAAAATTCCTTACAATTGGACTAATAAGTAACATCATGATTGTTGTTGTTGTTAAGTGCCAGCAAGTCAGTTCTGACTCATAGCAACCCTGTATAGGGTTTACCAGAAGTGGCTGGTAAGCTTGAACTGCCAACCCTGCAGTCCAGCACATTAACCTACAGCACCACCTCAGGACTCCATAATATGATAAACAGACCAAATATTGAAGTTATCAAAGACTTTCATTTGTTTGGATCCGCAATGAACGCTCATGGAAGCAGCAGTCAAGAAAGCAGGCATGTTGCATTAGGCAAATCTGCCGCAAAAGATCTTTTTCAAGTATTCAAGAGCAAAGATGTCACTTTGAGGGCTAAGTTGTGCCTTACACAAGCCATAGTGTTTTCAACCACCTCAAATGTATGTGAAAGATGAACAATGAATAAGGAAGACCAAAGAAGAATCAATGCATTTGAATTATGATGCTGGCAAAGAATACTGAAAGTATCATGGGCTGCCAGAAGAACCAACAAGCCTGTCTTGGGAGAAGTACAGGCAGAATACCCCCTAGAGGCAAGGTTGGTGACACTTTATCTCACATACTTTGGACTTGTCAGGAAGGATCAATCCCTGGAGAAGGGCATCGTGCTTAGTAAAGTGGAAGGTCAGTGGAGAAGAAGAAGACCCTCAATGACATGGAGTGACACAGTGGCAGCAATAATGGGCTCAAACATAACAATTGTGAGGATGGCACAGGGCAAGTGTCTAATGTGCTATGAGTTCTAATGTGCATAGGGTTGCTGTGAGTTAGAACCAACTTGATGGCATCTAGCAGTAATAACAACAACAATCGCTAGTTCCTACACAAACTGTTCTATGGTACTGGTTGTAAGCCCCGCCATGTGTCAGCACTCTTCCTATTTCCTCTCTGGGTACCCCCATTTCTATGAGAACAGTTTTGCTGTCTCTCCCTGTCTTTTCATCTTTGGTTTTGGTCAAATGCTCCCTTCGGGTTTCTCATAGTTTTTCTTCATGGTGGTTGTTTTATCCAAAATCAAACCTCCTGCCAACGCATCGATTCCGACTCATAGAGATCCTGTATGGGATTTCCAAAGTTGTAAATCTTTTGTTGTTTCTTTGTTGCTAAGTGTCATCCAGTCATATCCAACTAATAGCAACCCTGTAGGGGGTTTGAGAGGCTGTAAATCTTTATGGGATCAGAAAGTCTTTCTCCCAAGGAGTTAGTGGTGGGTTCGGTTCATACTGCAGACCTTGCAGTTAGCAGTCCAGTGTTTAACCTGCATCGGCCACCAGGTCTCCTTTATTGTTTTATAGTCCCATCTATTCTTTGGCTGAAAGGTGGCCTGCAGGAGTGTTTTCAGTTTCAAGTTAAAAGGCTGCCTCAAGACAGTAGTCTTGGGAGTTCTTCTAGACTCTTTCAGACCAGTTAAGTCTGGTATCTTTGTGTGTGTGTGTGTGTAGGGGAGCTTATTTATTTATTATCCATTCTAACTGGGACCTTCTGTTATGGTCTTGGACAGAGTGGTTAGTAGTGGTAGACAGGCGCCATCTAGATCTTCTGGTTTCAAATCGTTGTGAAGTGCCATTGAGTCGGTTCCAACTCATAGTGACCCTGTATAGGGTTCCCAAGGAGCAGCTGGTGAGCTTGAACTGCTGACCTTGCAGTTTAAACAAACCTTTCAGTCCAGCGCATTAACTTACAGTGCCACACCAGGTTTTAGGTTAGAGGAGGCTGTATTCATGTGGATAAGGTTAGCCCTTTGAACTTCATGCTTCCTTGAGTTTTCATGTTTCTTTGTTCTCCTTTACCTTGGTGGGCAGAGACCAACAGCTGCTTCTTAGAAGGCCGCTCACAAGGTTTTTTTGTTTGTTTGTTTGTTTCCTTAAAAAAAAAAAAAAATTATTGTGAATTATGTGATAGTTTACATGGGAGAACATTAGTTTTACATTCATTATATCGTATATCGTTTCATTGCCATGGTTACAATCCCCTCCATGCATCATCAACCAACCAAAGGGTATATATACCCTGCAAGCCTGCCCCCACCATCCCCGTCATCAACAGACAGCCCCTCTGTCTCTCTGGGTCTAGAGTCCCCAGTCATTCCATCTCTCCAAATCATTGTCTCTGCCTCCATCTCTGGCATCACTATTTCTCTGGGTAGGGTCCCATACTCCACTTTTCTCCCTTGATGGTCCCAGGGACCTCTGCTCCTTTTGCTACAAAATGTCTACCTTTACATTTCCAACCCTCACAGTCAGTCCTAATAGCAATTATTCACTATTGTACCACAAGAGACCTATCCCCATCTCCTTTCATCATCCCTGCCTAGACAGATTGGATACTACTCAGTGGAGATTCTACCTTACTCCACGCCCTCTGGATCTAGGCTCCTTCTTTAAAGTTTGTAAGCCAGTCACTTCTTGCCTTTGTAGCAGCCCCATTTTGGGTAGCCAACGTCCAAGTTGCCCATCCTTGTCTACTCTATATATGGAGGGGTGGGAATAATCCTCACTGTAAAGATTTGTTCACTCTTTTGAGTTACTGCATCCATAGGTGTAGGTCAAGTTCATCAAATTATACCTGATTACTCTTTCTTCTTCTAGTTGAACTCTGATCATCCAGCC